GACTGTTTCTCATAAACATTGTCTTTGTGAGATTCAGCTAGAGTCCGACCTTTCCACACTCATGGTCGAAGTCAGCTAGCACTTGTTCCGTTTGGCTAATGTTTGGTGTTATTAGAATGATGTCATCAGCAAAGCAGATTTGGTGTAGTTGCCAACTGTCTATCTTCACTCCCATTCCTTCCCATTCCAGTCGTCGCATGATGTTCTCGAGGGTGGCACTGAAGTTTCGGTGAAATGGTATCACCCTGCCAAACTCTTCTCTTGACATCGATGATCACTTGAGAAGGACAAAACCTTACAAGATTTTTAAAATCAGTTGAGAGAATAGTCAAAGAACAATAAGTAAAGAGAATAGTTTTAGCACTGGAACTCTAATGACTCGTCATGATACTTGTATCTTATTTGTATAAAATATATTTGGCCACTGTAAATGGGTAGAATGTTCTATGGTCATCGATTTGTTAAGTTTATTCTACTGTCCTGGGTAACCATAAACTTTTTTTTTGTTATTTTTCTTTTGTTTTGAATTTGCTGTATTGTGATATGCTCTTTGCAAACACCTTGTAAAATTGAGAGTGGTTTTGTATGAAGAGGAGACACAGGGTGACTGTGGGTTGCAGTGGGACAAGAGGATGGTGAGTGGGAGAAGATGGAAGAAAGATGATAGAAGACAGTGATGGCATGGAGGAGGAGTAAAATAGAATAGTGACCGTTACTCATTGGAGGTAGTAGAGAGCAAAGTTCTCTAGGAGTCCTAAAAATGTTATTTGATGTCCCTGAGAAACAAAGGGCAGAGAGTCGCATGCTCAAAGCACAGCGGACCCACAGGAGAACATGGGGATGAGATCATAAAGTGTCACACAAGACACAGTAAATTTAGGCATCATCGTACTTTGAGTATCAAGCCATGGAGTTATACATGCTTAAGTTTGAATTCTAATCTATAATGATATAAAAACACCCCTCAAAGATGCTATGTCCTGGCATCAATAACTTTATTTTTTATAAAACAAATGCTGTTAAGGAATTTGGCATGGGGAAATTATCTTGGATCATCTAAGTGGATCCTAAATATCATTTCAGGTGTCCATGTAAGAGAGAGATTGTAATCTAGAAAAGAGACGAGGCAATGTGAATGGACAGCAGACATTGGAGATCCATCACCAAGGAATGCCCCTGCCCCAGCAGCTGGTAAAGGCTAGAAATAAATTCTTCTCCAGAATCACTAGAGAGAGCTCAGTCCTGCTGATGCCTGGGTTTCATTACAATGATATTGATTTTAAACTGCTGACCTCCAGAAGCAAAGGAGAACCATCTTTTTGTTATTTTAGTCACTGAGTTTGTTACAGCTGGTTACAGCAGTCATAGGACTCAAATACATCTTCAAATTGCTGATATTTATGACACTCATTAGATGAAATCACCAAGGAAAGAAAGAGTATACTATGAGAGAGAAGACATGTACTGAGGGGAATTCTGGTACCTTTAATAATTAGAAATAGAAGAAATAGAAAAAGGAGAGGAAGAACTTTGTTGATTTCCAAATGAGGATGACAGCATATGTGTACATATGGGAAAATATACATATGCGTACAGTGAGAAAATGGTCAAACAGAGTGAAATGATGAATGTGTATGTATGTGTAGAAAGGTATTTAATACAAGACATTTAACTAATTTTTTAAACATCAGAAAATACATGATTCTATTTTGTTTTATTTTCTTTGGAGTTAACTAAAGGCTATAAAATAAAATATGTTTTAGTTTTTATATTGGGTTAAGACCATAGCTTAAAATCATATTTTAGTATGATGTTATAGATCCAACATCCTTGTGCTACTCAACATCTGATTCATGATTGAACAGACAGCAATCTCTGATAAATATAATCTGTACAACAAAAATATAGGACTCTTTGCTTGAGGCATGGGAAATTACTTAAACTTCCATGGTGTATGATGTCATTTTTAGTCATTTGAATTGTGAAAGTCAAAATAAATGTATACAGTCCAAATATAAAATACCTTGAATATTAAATATGAAATAAGAATACAGACCTAATATGAAATAATGTGTCTTAGAACAAAATGCCTTGGGTAAAATACATAACATGCCTAAGAACAAAATGCCTTGAATAAAATGAGTGGTAAAAGAATCTAAACAATGAGTTAAACAACGGGTTAAATTACTTCATCAGAAGTTGAAGGAATGGAGTGAATATGAGCAAAACTATTTTTTCTTTGAGATAATTAGTAACTTATGATGCAGAAAATCTGTATAGATTAAGTGACTCAAAAGTCCAAACAAAAATAAAGACAGTTTGGGGGAATGACATGCTAGATCTGGTAACAGTATAACTGAAATTAAAATGAATTATTTTCTTTTGCTTCCTTCTCGATCCCCATTTCTGCCCTCCATTTTTTTCCTCCCAAAAAGATTCTGTTAGCACAGATAAATGAGGCAAATCGATAGCATCCACCCAAACAGATAGGATATATTGAACTAATTCAAAGCTGGGTGAACAACAGCTGTGGTCTTGCCTGTGAAATTAGTTCAGAGGTGGCTTCTGTGTATTGAAGCATCAGAAAACTTTCAGTTGCACGTTCTTATAAGCAGAACAATATGAACTTGTTGAAGATAAGTAGATAATCTGGCATCTAAGTTTGTATACGTGGGCAAGAGAAAAGATAAGAGAAGAAAGAGAGGAAGAAAAATATTTGTAAGTCTATTCAAAAGATTTTTAGAGCAGGCAACCATGAAACAGATTGACCTTTTACTACTTCTGAATTGAGAACAGATTCCTTCCTTTAAATTTTCCTTCATATTGCAGGTTTTTATGATTTCGGAAGATACCATAGTAGCTAAGGCAATGAACCCAAACCAGGCAGTTTAATACATTGAACCAATGCCATAAATCTCTAAAGATTTGCCAATTTTTCATCAGAAAAATTACCCAATTATAATAATTTTAACTTAATTTTCTAAGTACAAGTAATACATGGCTTGTAAGAAGTACCTAATCAGATAAGAATAAAAAAATAACAGCTGGAGGGATAGTTCTAACAGTAGGGAATTTTGCCTTTCACATATCCAGCCTAGGTTCGAACCTCATATGGTCCTCCAAGCACCACCAAGAGTGACTTCTGAGCACAGACCTAGGAATAAAATACATGAACCACGTGTGTGTCCTCAAAATAAAAATAAACAAAATCACTAACACCTATTTTTGAAAGAACTATATAGGTAGTACAGCGGGTAAAGCACTTGCCTTTACGTGGTCAACCCTGGTTTGATCCCTCACAACCCACATGGTCCTCTGAGCATCTCCAAGAAGAATCTCTGAGTGCAGGTCCAGAAATAAGACATAAGCACATCCAGGTATGGCCCCAAAACCCCAAACAGAATAAAATTTTTTAAAAGTGCATATGTACATTGTAATTAACTTGAATTTTTTGTCTTAAGAAATAAAGGAAACCAGTTTTATCAGACATTGAACTCTTTATAACTCTAGTGGCACTGCTTGCATTTCAGGAAAGTTTAGTCTAAAATAATTGTGTGATGTTGATGGAAAATTATTTTCTCATATAGAATAATTTTCATAAAATCTTGGAGGGATATAATATGAATCCACTTTTATTATATACACCCTTTAAGTATATATGTTCATCACTGTCACTGTCCTCCCATTGTTCATCAATTTGCTCGAGCGGGCCCAGTAACATCTCCATCATGAGACTTGTTGTTACTGTATTTGACATATCGAATACATCACGTGTTGCTTGCCAGGCTTTGTTGGGCAGGTGAGATACTCTCGGTAGCTTGCCTGGCTCTCCAAGAGGGGCGGAGGAATTGAACCCGGCTCAGCCAGGCTGGCTGCATGCAAGGCAAACGCCCTACCACTGTGCTATCGCTCCAGCCCATATATGCTCGTATACCTAAATAAATACATACATACTTATGTATTTATGCACAAAAGACATAAAGTTGAATCTCTAAATTTTGAAATTATTAATAATTTTTATTTCATGACTTTCTATTTGTTTCAAAATTTTATAATGCAAAAATTTTAAGGTAAAGGTAAAGGTAAAGGCCCTCCCGTTGATCGTCGATTTGCTCGAGCGGGCCCAGTAACGTCTCCGTTGGAGACTTTGTTGTTACTGTGTCTGGCATATCGAAAATTTTATTTGGAAATATAAAATCTAGAACGCAATCATTAAAAATTAATAACCTCAACACCTAGCTGTATTAGAATCACGAACATAAAATTTTTTTACTTTACTTTTAGTAATCAATAAAACTGGACAGCTGGAACAAATGCATGCTGGCAGAGTAGAATGTACTAATTGAAAAGGATAAAAAAATATAAATTGTGCTCAATATCAATTTGAGCTTCTGTTTTTGAGCTCCTTCCAAAGTCAACACTGTAACTGAAGCCCAGGTGAAGAATAACAATCTTTCTGGAAGATTAAGATAAAAATTTGTATAAAAACATATAAAGTTACCGTTGAGAGATTTGTTTGCAAAGTGAAGGATGATGCATAAAAAAGGAGTCCCAGAAAACTGCATACAATGTTTTAGTCTTTGTTCAGCTACTAAGCTGAGAATAAGTGCAGAAATGGATTTAGTAGAATATAGGTACTTAGTAGTTACACATTTTGAAAAGACAATGGCATTGGAGAATTCTTGGAGTTATAAGTTACCAAGAATCCATACTAGAGATCACATTATTAAAAAGACAACTTTATCATTAGCACTATGTTAGCCTTAGATACAACTTAACCCCCAAATCTTAATAGGTTAAAGCATCTAAAACAAAAAGGTTTAAAGAAAGCAAACATTTCTTAAGAAAGAAAACATGATAGAAAAACTCAAATGCATAGTATCAAGATTACTAAACACAGAAATTAAATTTTCTATTTCTAGACATATATACAGAAATAGAAAAAAAGACAGAAAGTAAAATATATGCATGATAAGTAAAGAATAATATATTCTGTGCTCATTTCAGCAGCATATAAATATTAATATTAGAACAATACAGAGAAAATTGGCATGGCTTTTGCCAAGGATGACATGTAAAGTCGTGAAGCATTCCATAGTTTCTGCATGGTAAAGGAGTAAAAATGATTAAGAGCAACAGAACCTAATTGTTCTACTGAACAAAAATGACCATGGGAATGAGATTTTGGTGGAGGGACAAGAAGAGTTAATGAAGGAAGGTGGCCTTTTGTGGGGTCTTGGAACAGTCTTAATTGGAAACCTAAACATAGCTGGGAATGTAGTTTTGGGGTGTTGATTCATAAAACCCTACCAATGTCAGTATTGCAAAATTGTAAAGCACAGTGACTGAAACTTTAAAAAAATAATAATAATAACAATGAATCAAAACCAAAAATAATGATTTAAATTACAGCATTCAGAATGTAATATATAAAATAAAAATTGTTTTGGGTTGATTTGACAGCAAGTTGAACACCAGGGAAGAAATATCAATGAAGTTAAAAGACAGGTTTTTAAATCTGTATGTAGGAAGAAGACAGAAATCTCATGGCAATTTAAATAGTGAAAGATAAAATATAATAATTATGTGGTATATAAGGAAATAAAGTAAGTTATTAGGCAAATCCCAATGGAAACAAATTCTGAGATAATATCACTAGAATTGGGAACTGAGGAATGAGATGGAGAGAGAATGGAAAAATTATGAAGGGTTCTTGGAACACTGGTGGAGGGGTTGGTGTAAAACTACCAACCTATAAAATAGCTACTTCAGTACCATTAGAAATGATGAGGCGTCAATAAAAATAGAAAAATAGAATCATATGTATTTCTGCTTTGGAACATGCTCAGAATTTACACCTGCTCAGAATTTACACCTGCTCAGAATTTACACCTGCTCTGAGCTCATGGATAACTCCAGAACTGACTCAGAAAAGTTCCTTTGGGTGTGAGAGATCAAACCTAGCTACTGTGTGTAAGTCATATGCCTTCTCTTCAGTCCCTAAATATTTTTCAAGTTAAAAAATAATTAAGCGACATAGCAGACTAACCACAAGATACAAATGTTATCAAAGGGTGTTCTGTATTCAGAGGATGAATGAGGAGGCAGTGTTGGAAAGTTGAAGTTCTGAGTTCTAGAACTTGTTTTAGAAATTATGATTAGTGTAAGAAGAGCAGAAGAATTTGCTCAGTTTCAGGAGCATAAAGTTGTCTTCAGTTAGCAACTGAAGCAGTAATTATTGAAGTGGAAGTAAGTCACAGCTGGGAGTAGGTGTTCAGAGTATATCAGTAGTCTATATTGAGGAGGTGGAGGAAGATTTATCCTCTTGGATAAATGAGCAGTGGATGCATAGAGATTCAGAAGGATACTGATGCTAGTGTCCTTGGATATGCCACATTTGGACCAAGGGATAAGCAGAAAAGAGTGGAGGGATAGGTGGATAAGAAAATAAAAGGAAAGAGATGCTTTGGTAGCTGAAAATCTTACAGCAGTTCAGAGGGTTGTGGGAATGTTGATCATCATCAGAATGGTCCAGGCTTGCAATGTCATTGAGTTTTTGCACACTTGAGACCATCAAGAGATTGATATGCACATATCAATCCCATTCGCCAAAAGTACAGCAGTCAGACTAAGTAAAGTCTCAATTCTGAATCTCTTCATCACAGAATTATAAAAATTTAGGATAAATTTTTATATAGAATAGAATAGAATAGAATATCCCATATGGCAAAGAAGTCTTTGTTAATAATTAACATTCATTTGTGAGTAGAAAAAATTTTTTAACTAACGGAAGGGAGCAACCTAATTTTGATAAACATCTGACAAACTTATAACTGGCATTGTTTCTAACAGTCAAATATTAATTGTTTACCCTCAAAATGGAAACAAAGTGAAGATATACATTATTATCAATTATGTCCATCACCAAATTGGTATTTCACTGTATCACTGTATCATTGTATCACTGTCATTCCGTTGTTCATCGATTTACTCGAGCAGGTGCCAGTAACATCTTCATTCGTCCCAGCCCTGAGATTTCAGCAGCCTCTCCTTACTTGTCTTTCCCAATGCTGCCATATTGGAGGCTCTTTCAGGGTCAGGGGAATGAGACCCATTATTGTTACTGTTTTTGGTATATCAAATACGTCACAGGTAGCTTGCCAGGATCTGCAATGCAGGTGGGATACTCTCTGTAGCTTGCCGGGCTCCCTGAGATATGTGTATGTATATGTATATATGTATGTATATATATGTATATATTTCCCTCTATGATTTGTTGCCTACGGTATGAACCCCATCAAATATGGTGTGGTAATTATGAAAAATGGGTAAGGAATATCTTATGGTGTGTCTAGGGATATGTTCACTCATGTGTGAGGCTCGGCCAGAGCATGTGGAAAGTGGCCTGGAGCATGGGACGGTTGGGTATTTCATAGGATAGAAAGCACAAAAACCAGTTCTAATATATTTTTGTAGGGAACTTAGTGAACAATTGAAAAATAAAATAAAGTACCATTTAAATAGAATGAAAGTCATACAATATATGAAATATATTTTTTTCTTTTTGTGTCACACCCAGAAATGCTCAGGGGTTACTCCTGGCTTTGCACTCAGAAATTATTCCTGACGGTGCTTGGGGGACCATATGGGATGCCGAGGATTGAACCTGGGTCGGCCGCATGCAAGGCAAACGCCCTACCCTCTGTGCTATCGCTACAGCCCCTGAAATATATTTAAAGTGAAATGTGCAGAACCTGTACACTAGGATTTATAAATTGATGCTGAAATCTTAAAAACTATAAATGTATGACGTTATTTATTGTTTAAGAATAGGAAAACTCAATAAACTTAATAATATGTAAATTCCCTGAAAATTGACTTGAGATTCAACACAACCCCAACTCTCATATGAGAATTTTCTGTAAAATCTTAAAAGGTGTGTTAGATAAATAAAATAGTTGATAAGGTGCTTTCCTTGCAAGTGGCTAAACAGGGTTCATCCTTGACTTTTACATGGTCCTCTGAGTACCACGAGAGGGGTTCCCTGAGCACAGCGTCAGGAATAATTCTTGAGCATCACCATCTGGGGTCCAAAATCAAACAATAAAATATTAGAAAGGTGGTTCTAAAATAAATAGGTACTTGCAGTATTGGCCAAGTCAAAACTATGGTGGAAAAGAATAACAAAGTTGTCAATTTACACTGTCTAATTTCAATATTTGAGATATAAATTTACTGTAATCTATATAGTGCAATTTTTGGTGAGGGAATGGTCAATTGTTATTGAATCCAAACAGAGCTCAGAATTATTTATGTAGAACAATTAACTTTTAAAATAGAGGAAAAAAATCTTGTCAATGAATAGTGCTATACTAACTAATAACTGTGTAGAGGTGAACTGCTAGAGCAATAGCACAGCGGGTAGGACGTTTGCCTTGCACACAGCCGACCCAGGTTCGATTCCTCTGTCCATCTCTGAGAGCCCAAAAAGCTTCTGAGAGTATACTACTACCCACACAGCAGAGCCTGGCAAGCTCCCTGTGGTGTATTCGACATGCCAAAAACAGTAACAAGTCTCACAAGGGAGACGCTACTAGTGCCTGCTTGAGCAAATTGATGAACAATGGGAGGACAGTGCTACAGGCAATGCACAAGTGAACTGCAATTGTTTCCTCATTCCTATAGAAAATTAATCTCAATGAAATTTAATAATTTAATGCTTCTAAAGGAAAGCATTGGAGCATTTCTCACAATTAAAAAATGTTGGTATGCACAAGACAGTGTTAAGGAATTTAAATATATGTAAGTGTAAATAAACATTTGGATAAATTCATTTTGCTATGTATAAATCTTTAAAAGGGCATGATTTTGGAGCTTTATTTGTGCTCAAAAGTAAGAAAAAGCTAGTGAATTAAAATTATTAAAAGAAATTAGTAATATAAAAAATATCTGCCTATTGTCTGTCATCTACAAGCTGTTCACTCGAGTTATCCTAAATAGGATTGGAAGAACACTAGATGAAGGACAACCATGCGAGCAAGCCAGGTTCCACAAAGGATTCAGCACCATCGACCATATCCACATGATAGCCAAGCTCATTGAGGTTTCTCGGGAGTTCAAGATGCCGCTCTGTTTAACGTTCATTAAATTAAAGAAGGCCTTTGATTCTGTTGAGACGGAAGCAGTCATTGAAGCCCTAGCCAATCAGGGCACTCAAGCCCAGTACATCAAGATCCTCCGTGAGCTGTATTGCGGATTCACTACCAGGATCTCACCATTCTACAAAAAAGTAATCATCCATGTCAAGAGAGGGGTTCAGCAGAGTGATACCATTTCACCGAAACTCTTCAGTGCCACCCTCGAGAACATCATGCGTCGACTGGAATGGGAAGGAATGGGAGTGAAGATAGATGGTCGGCAACTACACCAAGTCTGCTTTGCTGATGACATCATTCTAATAACACCAAACATCAGCCAAGCGGCACAAATGCTGGCTGACTTTGACCGTGAGTGTGGAAAGGCAAGACTACAGCTGATTCTTATGAAGACAATGTTTATGAGAAACTGCCTCATTCCTGATGCCCCATTAGCTCTCAACGGAACGACCATCTCCGAATGCAACAGCTATGTGTACCGAGGTCGAGAAGTCAACGTGACAAATGACCTGGCACCCGAGCTGCGCAGGAGGAAGAGAGCGGCTTGGAACACCTTCAAGAATGTCGAAGAAATAGCTAACAGGACGAAGAACCTCCGGCTCCGGGCATATCTCTTTGATTCCACTGTTCTTCCTGCATTAACTTATGCCTCAGAGACCTGGGCCCTACACAAACAGGAAGAGAATGCTATTCGGGTCTCCCAAAGAGGAATTGAAAGAGTTATGCTTGGAATTTCACGTTTCACTCAAATGAGAGAAAGAATCTGGAGTTCCGACATCCGTTGAAGATCAAGAATCAGGGGCGCTGCCTCATTTGCCAAGGTGTCAAAAATCAGATGGGCTGGCCACGTAATGAGATTTAAAGACGACCGCTGGACTACAGCTGTTACCGACTAGATCCCACGGGATGTCAAAAGACCGTGTGGCCGCCCACCTACCAGATGGTCA